AGATTAACTTATTTAGCTGTAATACATACTCATCAACTAACACGCAGACACATACAAGTACACTTATGTAGTTATGTAAATAAATTGGAGAGCAGAATCACATTTCTCTTTTATTCACATTAATTGGGCACCCGTAACTTATAGCTCATAGCTCCATCTCGTTCTGCCATTAACTCTTTGCGTTATGTTCATAGTTTTATTTGCTTTCGTTCTTCCAGCAGCAACATGCGATTGTTGTTAGTGCTTTTTATTTCGCTTTTCTTTCTTTTTCGTTTAGTATTTTAAACGACGCAATTGACGCCGACATCGCAGTCGCTGCCGCAGTCGGCGGCACAAGCCACGTTTTTGCGCTACTTTTACTTGTGTGTATGTGTGCGACTGCCTCGGTGTATTGTGTGTGTGTGTGTGTGTGTGTGTGTAGCTGTGCGTGTCATTTCATACCACATTAGGTAAGGTTAGGTTTTTAATTTTGTTTTCTAACTTCGCGCCGTTTTGTAGCTGGCACTTTGCCACACACGTACAGTTGTATGTGTGTGCGTTTGTATTTCTGGTTTAGCTTTATATTTAATTTACTTTTTTTGTGGGCGCCATTCTTCACTGATCTCGCGCGCGCACGCTCTTCTCTCTTTTTGGTTGAACTCCAGTCAAAATGCTCTGGTTTGTTTACAAAATAAAGAAAGAAAAAATGCTTTTCGAGTATTCGTGTTTTATTTCCGCTTTCTTTGCTTTTGTTTTTGTTTTCTGTTTTCATTGCTGCCAGCAGTTAACCTGTTTGTTGCACTCTCTACGCTCTCTGCTAGCAGATCGTCATCGTTGTTACTTCTCTCCCCCTCTCTCCCTCAACAACCCAAATATTTTCGCACAGCATGTGGTTTTCTTCAATTCCCATGGCATATGTATGTACGTACATATGTATGTATGTGCATACCAAATATACAAATGTATGATTTTACTTACAAACACATTGACACATTCTACACATTAATTCACACACAATACATACATACATACATATGTATGTACGGGTATGTGTGTATAAGTATCTTTTCATACGCTTCGCTCTTTTTTGTCAGTTTTTTTTATGCGCGCTCTACGCCTTGTCTATTTTCGCTATTCTGCTCCGCTATGAACTTGAGAGACCACGTGGTTTTTTGTGTTGGCGAAACGCCAGTTCGTTTCTGTTTCTGGCTGTTGTGGATGCCAAGCCGAAGCTTGTGGACTGTCGATGATGTTCCGCTGTGGATGCCATTCCACAAGAGCGCCACGCTCTTTTTGCTTTTATCTTAATATCTTGTAGCTATGGCGCGTCTTCTAGCGCGCCATCAGGAAGTGCTTCATCAAATTTACATACTCACACATGTGTGTGTGGCTGCCTATGTGTACGTGTGTGCGTGTCCCGTTGCCATTTGCATTTGGAGCGACGTCATCAGCGAACGCTGCGAGAATTTCCAGTTTCCATAGACTGAAACTAAGTCGCACTTTCATTGACGCCTTTAACCGTGAGAGCTAGAGGCGGGCGCAGTTGGCAGCGGGGTGTGGCTTGAATTACAAATTTTCTCTGGATTGCGTCAATTCTGCGACACACAGATTGCATCAATTACTACAAACGTCACTTAATTAATCAGCTCTCATTTATTACGCAATTTGTGTATTTTCAATTGGTAGAATAAGAAACAGTTAATTCAATATTGCTAACTCCTACATTTCGCATAAATAAGAGCAATAAAATTTAATATTTCAGCTCATTTCGCATTCAGCACACAGAGAGAGAGATAGAGAGAGACGTAGCAAATAACCAATCTATATTCCAGTTTAGACACCAATCCAGCCAACAAATTGTTAGTACCCATATTCAAATTCGATACGCCACACACACATAAGCAATCACACAAACACACCGACACAGAGGCACACTGAGAGCAAACATTCTATCTACAGTCAGGGCTACGTCTATTCTACCGTTGCCCCCTCTCATCGCATTCCAGCCGAAGTCGCCGTAGCTATTAAACAGAAATTATAATTTTTTGAAGGCCACTCGACGCGGCTGATATCATTACTCCCATCTAGTTCCAATTGAGCCGACGTCGCGCTAATTTTTTACTACGTCGTCAATTGTTGGAATGAAGCTTTGGACCTGGCTCCGTTAGCAGCGGTAGAGAGAGACAGTGTCTGTGGTAGCAGCAGCAGCAGAGATAGAGGCAGAGAGGAAGAGACAGAAGCGGCGACAGCAATGGCGTTAGGGACAGTGGCGCATGCGCTGTGGAAGGTAGCGTGGGGGCGGAGCAGAATCGGCTACGCCTTAAACGCCACTTGCTGTCCGCCTCATTACACTTGTGACGTCACAAAACCGTCAAAGCTGTGTCGAAGCTTAAGGCTAATTTTACTGACAATTGCGAACCGACAACGATGAAGACTGGAAAGTTTGACAACTGAAGGGAACTGCATGTATTTACATACATATGAATGTGTGTGTGCACGTAGGCATGCGCAGGATAAATACGCTGTTAGAGGTTGTTCACGTTTCTGGTTTATATTAAATGAATAATGAATAAATGAGAATGCAGCACAATATAATAAAGTTATTATCCGGTTATGGCTGACAAATTAGCATATTAAACTTCCAATATTGAAGACAATACTCATAATTAGCATTTGCTGTATTAAGTTAAAAGCATTTTGAACTGGTTCACTAACTGGTTCAACTATAAAACTCTAAAATGGAAGCAATGCTGTTAAAGAAGAAGAACCAAGCACAACAGTGATAACTGGCCCATGAATTGCCATCGATCGCACAGCCTCGAGCCCGGAGCACTTTCGCATATTGCATCTGTGTCGCAGTCTGGGCCATAAAGCGCTAAGCCTTACTTAAGCTCAGGCGTCTAGACTTCATTAGCAGCGTCATTTTTGGAATTTATGTGGCAGCCACATTAACAACTCAAATGTCCGGGGACAAATGAACGAACCAGTCTATGCGACGGAATTGGCTGGCGGCCACTAATAAAATTCGTGTTATGAATGCGTGTCTAGCAAACTTTTTCTGTTATTTTTTTTTATTTATTTATTGTATATCTTGTTCGACTGCAATTTTTCGGTAAATTTCCCACAGCGACTGCGACGCGACGCGTGCGCGCGCAGATAACAAACATTTGGCCCATTTGCCAGTTATCAGTGGCATGCTGGAAATTTGTTGGAAACGACTCGCTTCCAAATTCAGATCGTCGCCAAAGAAGATGGCAGGCAAAACAAACTAGAAAATATGTTCATTTGTACAAGCATACACACACGCACACTAGGGGCTTTATTACTCAATTGCTGTGTGTGTGTGCGCTGGTATGTGTTGTAAGAATATGTGAGCGCCAAAACACAAAACGTGCATTTTAGTGGAACTCAAATATGTGGATTTCAAAACAAGCACACATGCACGCAGCTACCAGCGAGAGAGAGCAAGCTTTGTCTCTCAGCGTCCAACAACATCTGTGTGTAGCTCACACCATCATCAAACACCAACACTATTGCACAGCCGACACAAAAGAGAGAGACGTGCCGGGCGCGCTGCCTGGTTCGCTAGTGGCTGGCTAGCTGTTCGTGTCGCTTCGTCGTTGTCGMTGTCGCCGACGACGACGACGACGACGCTGCTGTCGTTTTGCCGCTACTTCGGTTTGTAGCATTTCGTATACCAATCAGTTGTCAGTTCGCATCCAACTAGAAAGCAGTTAACGAGCAGATTCCGTTGCGTTTGCGGTTAAAAGCCACGAGGTCGATCAGCGTTTAGCGCGCTACTTAACCCCCAACGTCACCAAATTCTTTCGAGTCCAAAAAGAAAAAGAAAAAAACCGATACGGTTGATCACGTGTTTACTCCTCCGCTCTCTAAACTCCGCCCCGCCCCTGCTACTCCATAGGCGAACAATGAGTGAACTCAAAAGTAAAGAGTTTAGCAAAATTCCAAATCAAAACATTTACATGTGAAAGAAAGAAAAAAGTGAACACAGCATAAAACAAAATACACACACACACACACAGATGCAAGAGCAATAATAAGAAATAGTGTATGAAGGAATGCGTAGTAAGAAAGAAAAAGAGCAACAAAATAAAAAATATCGTAGCAAAGGCTGGAATGATCTTTTCTCATTGTAGCTTTTGCGTGTTTTTTTTGGTATTTTGGAAATTTACTGCTGCCGGCAGAGCTGCGCACACACATGCATATATATATATGTATAACACAAACACAGACATTAGTGCGAAATCAAAATAGCTGCTCAAATTCAAATTTGACTATGGCAAAAATAACAACAAAACAGTAAACGTGCTTATATGTGTGTACATACATACAGACCAACACGTATACATATAAACTTTTCCATTTGAACTTTAAACACACACACACACACACACACAGGGGCAAACATGTGTGTTCTATCTGCATAAGCTTTTGTACAGATGTTTGTTCGTATGAACGTGAGCGTGTGTGGATCATTAGTGAGCGTGCATGTGTTTGTGTGCCTTCGCCGTCGACGTCAACTGCGCCGCACGCTTTCATTGAATTCTTATACGAATTCCAATTAATTTCTGTATGCGTCCAATTGGCATGAATTGGTGACGTGACGCGATCTCGCGTGCTCACCTCTCTTTAGATGCCCACTCTCGCTCTCGTACTGGCTCCCGCTCTCTTTGCCTGTCTCTCTTTTCGCAACGTGCGCGCTCTCATTTTATACGTATTTACATTTCTACATAATTTGCTCTTGTTATTGCTCTTGTTTTTGTACTTAACTTTTTTTTTTGTGTTTTCTTCTGCTCCTGCTTCGTTTCTTTATTCGTTAAGTAAATATCGTTTTTAATTTGTATGTTTATAGCTCAAGCAACAGCAACAGCCGCCCACAAAATATCAACAACAACAAGTGCTTAACTTATGCAAGTGTGAGCAGCTAAATACACACATACATACACATATGATTATCGATACATGAGCATGTGTATGTGAGAAAGAGAGAAAGAGCAAAAAATTATGCCAGTTAGCTTCAACAAAAGAAAAAAACAAACGAAACTAAATAATAATAATAAGAATAATTAAAACACAATAAACCGGCACAAGTTTTGCTCAAATTAACAACAACAAATGCAAGCAACGTGTATTTAATTAATAAATAAGTGCACTATAAAACGACTCACGTAAAAGTGTTGACAAATAATTTCAATCATAATAACAAAACAAAACAAAACAGTGCATAATATCAGCTGAAAACAACAACAACAACAACAAATTTAAAGGGAACAACAACAACAACAAAGCTCAGAGGCAACTTCCTATTGGCTCAATATAGGTAAATACTTAAAATATGCACATACTACATTCTAATAAGAGAATGCGCACATTCAAGACTTGTGTTCAATTAACGCCTTTAAGGCGTGTCACCAAGGGAGCTACAATTCTAATTGGCATGTGTATCTATCTCTATACAATAGTAATCCAGTTGGTGAATGAGTTTATTATGTGATTATGTTGATTAGGCTCCAATAGGAATGTGCACAATGTCAATAAACCATCCAATTAGAAATGCAGTTTACTTTAACATAGTCTAATAAGTCTAATAAGCAATAGTATACAAATAATTAATTGTTATGCATTTTGTAATTGTAAAGTATTAGCCAATCAATTATTGTTATGCGTTTGTGCATTAAAATAATGGCATTCCAATTGGAGACTTGCAAATCGTATTGCATTCAGATGTATTCTAATTGAAATGTGAACAATTAAGACTTGTCCAATTAATTATTTGTATGAATCTCTGCATTGAAAGAGTAGTATTACGATTGGATATTTCGATTTGTCAGTCGTTTAGATGTATTCTAATATAACTAATTATTATTATGTATTTGTGCAGTCAAGTAATATTATTCTAATTGGACAATTGTCTACAGGTATATTCTAATGGGATTATATATATTATAGACTTATCCAATAATTTATTGTGCATTTGTGCAAATAATATGGAAATGGGGATTATGATTATAGGATTAAGAGTCGAAAAAATCAATTATTAAGCTGTGCTCTTATAAGAATATACATTTTAGATACACATCTAATTAATTATTATCAGATAGATGTAGTAGTGTTTTTACACTATTTGAATATTTTGGTTAGTTATGTAGCTTAATAAGAGTTGTGTATTCAAACAATAGTATTCCAATCGGATATTTGAATACTCTGCTGCTTAGATTATTTTCTCTTTGTAACATATATTTCCTATAAAAATATGATTTAAGAGAGAATTTTATTCAAATAGTGCCCAGACCCTCCGCTACACATAAAATGCTATAGGAATATTCGCGAATATTATTTGAGCGTATGCGTAGAACTCCAATTGGAGAGCAGAGATTCATATTGGACTGCAGCGCTTCGATTTTGATTAGTGAGCGTTTTGTTTGAAAACTCAGTGCAGAGATCTTAATTAGAGCACGCCTGATAATGTGTCTAAAAATAGCCTGCGGCGCTGATAGCGACGACTATAGCGCGTGTCGCTTCGCTCTCCCGCTCCTCCGCCCGTCCCCTCTCCTTCTCGTCGTTCCCTGTCTCGTTCTCACTTTGCTCTGGTTCGCTTTACCCTTCCAATCGGCTGTGTGGCTTATTAGCTGGCGTTTAATAGTTGGAAAGAGTCTGATTCGTATAGCAAACTCTCAGTCTTATTCGATTATACTGTTAAAGTTAATTGGAATAAATAGATTTTAAATTATTTAAATACAACACTGAAACAGTGAAAACTTTTGAGCATTGCATCTCACTCAATTTTGAATTTGTTTATATTTCTAGCTGTTATTACGTTAGTTTCGTTAGTTAATAGGTATTCTATTTTCTTGCTGTTCTTTAAATATAACATTTTATATTTTGAAATAGATTTTATATTTAATTATTGATTTTCTCTTATGTTGGCCTTTTTTTGTAATCTCACATATTATTGACATTGAAGTGCGATTAAGCTCTAATGTTTTTATTAAATGGGTCGATTCTAATAGTGATCAGGGTCTGATAAGAATTAAAGAGAGTAGAGAGAGAGAGAGAGAGAGAGAGAGACAGAGGGAAAGAGACGACAGCTAGAAAAAGAGAGAGTGATAAGCAAAGAGTGTGCTTATATAAATGTTTATGTAAATGCCTTATCTATAGCTGCTGGTGGTATTCATGTGTGTGTGCATGTCTGTGTGTGCGTGTATTTATGACTCTGCTTTGCCATTTGCTGATATCTTGAGTGTTTGGCGAGCGGGTTTTATTAGATTGTGTTTGAGATAGTGTCTGCTGGAAAAGGTTTGCCAAATAAATTTCATTTTTTTGGTGAAGCAGAAATGAAATGAGAATTGAGGAAAGTAGTAATGCATTTCAAATAATTTGTATATATACATATTATATACATAATATATATAAAACAAATATTTCTACATATTTCAAAGAATACTATGAGCAAAGCATCTATAAAGGTTTCACTCTTATATATCTATATCTATTTATCAATTGATTGATCACATTGAAGTCGATTTCCTTTAGCTACAAAGCGACTTTGATTTATACAGAAAAAGAAAATKGAAAAAGCAACAATTAATAAATAAATAAATAAATATATACATATATAGTATAAATGATCGCAACGCTTCTTGCCGATTCTTATTTGCAATTACAAAATGCCGCTGCCTCCCTCTCGTTGCACCCCTTTCTGGGTGTGGAACGCGCGTGTTTCTCTCTTTGACCTTCCCAAACGGCACGTGTAGAGCGTCGCACAAGTGCGACAGAGCCGGCACATAATTGCACTTCCAACAAGATTCTATTTGAATGCGCTTCCGCGATAATCGAGTTAATAAATTATTAGCATTGCCTATGTGACAGCAGAGATGCGCTACGCCTCTGCGCATGGCCGAACAACTCGATTGATCGAATCGATGTGCTGCACCAGAAAGAGAGCGCAGCGAAAACCAGAATAAGCCTCTCTTTGGCTGCTTTCTTTGCATTCCACTTCGGATCAAGCACAGTGGCGGGTGGGTTACAACTTTGTTACAGAGAGCGTGAGTGGGAGAGGCGCACCAGAGAGAGAGAGCGCGGACTCTAGAGAGCGAGCAAGTGCAATGGGCGCGTGTAGCGAGTGTCAAGATGATTTACTTAAGACCAGCAGCTAATGAAAACTAATGACGGAATCATGCAAACTAGCACACACACACATAAAAGAACATACGCATGTATCGTATGCAAGTGTAGGTGAGTGAATTGGCGTAAATTGCATGCGTAAGAGGGAGAGGGAGATGTCAAGTGGCTCTTGGAACTTACGCTTAACAGAAAAATGTTAGCATTGTCAGCTTTGTGCTAGGCTTCATGTCAGGGAATACCTAGCGATTGATAAGGCAATTAATTGTGTGTGTACATTGTCTATATATATGCATATGTATATATTTATTTATATACCTCTAGTTAGACATTGTGGAGTTGCAACTGTATGACTATAGCGGACTTTTACTGGCTAAAGGCACATGGCAACGGCAACAGACAATTTGTATACATTTATGTACATATGTATGTGTTTCTTATCTCTTTGTGGCTGTGCAACTGTATGTGATATGAGTGTAGAGAGTGTGTGTGTGTATGATAAAGCGCATCAAGTGCAAAAGATATGAAAAGTGTCTGCATTATAATTTATATATATGTYATTATAAATTATGGTCTATTTATATAATTTATTATGATTAATTATGATTATTTATGATTTATAAATTTAAAAAAATTCCAATTTAGCTTTTACTTATTTATAGTTAATTCTTTTTCAATTAGTCAATTGCAAATCTATATTCTAAATGTCTAGTTAGCTTAATGACTAACTAGTTCACTGTCATTAGTTCACTAAAATCACCAATCCATGCTAAAGATATCTTCTTAATGATATTAAAATCTTTGACTTGGCTAGATTCAGCTCGCTCATGAATCTGTATCTTTTACTATATATTCCTTGGGAAAGTTACGATTTCACTCTCGCCCAATAAATGGAAAAAGGTCGCTCGATCAAGTGTGATCAGCCAGATCAGAGACCAGAGACTCTGGCTCAGCATCATTTACATGTGAACTGGAGTTGGGTGACCAGTTAAGGTGGCTGCTGCTGCTGCTACCTTTAGCTGACCAGCTGYCAGTTATTTTTGATTGTCTTTCTCGCTCTCTCTCACTCCCGCTGCCTCTCTCGCTCTGTCTTACACTTGAGATGGCGTCTTTAAAGCAAAGCCAACGCTGACATACTTTGCTTAATAATCCTGTTTGACAAGTTATGCCAGGCATTCGTCTCTATCTCTTTATGCGTATATCTCTGTGAGTGTGTGTGTGTCTGTATGTGTGTGTGTGGACTCGTTCTCTTACTTCCACGTAACTGAACCTGGGCCATGTGCGCAAGGGGCTAACTGAGCTTCGTGCATAATATATAT